ATTTTCCAATTTGAGACTCTCAGACTTATTAGAGTCAGATTCAAGATTCCTTTTCAGGTCTCTGAATTTAGCTCTAATTTGCTGATAACGTTCCAGAATCTCATTGAGGCTTTCGGCAAGTTCAGCCTTTGTAAAGTTAACAGCGAAGTTAGGAAATACCTCTTCTGTGTCTGATTCTGAGTCTGATTCAGAAGCTTCACTATCTTCTGAAATGTTAGCCATGAGAGTTATGTTTGCCCTTTCATCATCTGATTCTGAGTCAGCTTCAGACGAGTCAGAGTCATCCCATGTAGCCATGAGACTTTTCTTCTTCTCTCTTCCAAACTTCTTTTTGGGCTTTTCCCTCTGAAGCTTTGGGCAGTCACTCTTGTAGTGTCCTTGCTCATTGCACTCATAGCAGATGATGTCTTTGGTGTTTGGCTTCTTGCTACTGGAGGAGCCTTCAGATCTTCTGTATCCAGAGGAAGAATCTGTCCTTCTGTATCTGGAAGAAGACTCGTTCTGATCAGATCTTCTGGGATTCCTGAACTTCCTTTGTCTTTGCTTCCACAGTTGATTCACTCTTCTGGAGAGAAGGGAAAGTTCGTCTTCTTCTGATGATGATCCATCAGATGTTTCTTCAACTGCCTGCAAAACTTTAGACTCAAATTTTCTGTTAGATTTTAATGCTAAAGGCTTACCTTGCTTCTGAGGCTCATCAGCTTCTAGCTCTATCTCATGACTTCTGAGGGAGCTGATAAGTTCCTCCAGAGTGATTTTGTTGAGATCTTTAGCTAGCTTCAGAGCAGTAACCATAGGCCTCCACTGCTTGGGTAAACTTCTGATTATTTTCTTGACATGGTCAGCAGTAGAGTACCCTTTGTCCAGAACTTTGAGACCAGCTACCAGAATCTGGAATCTAGAGAACATAGTTTCAATGGATTCAGATTCTTCCATTTTGAACGCCTCATACTTCTGAATGAGCGCCAGAGCTTTTGTTTCTTTGACCTGAACGTTGCCCTCATGCGTCATTCTGAGAGAATCAAAGATGTTCTTTGTTGTGTCTCTGTTGGAGATCTTTTCATACTCAGTATAGGAAATGGCACTGAGGAGGATGGTTCTGGCCTTGTGGTGATTCTTGAAGTCACGCTTTTGTTGAGCAGACATTGATTTTCTATCAATCTTCTGACCACTTGCATTCACAGGGTGCGTGTATCCATCTGTCACCATATCCCACAGATCAGCATCATGTGCCAGAAAGAAGCTTTCAATTCTGTCTTTCCAGTAATCAAAGTTTTCTCCATCAAAGACTGGAGGTTTGCCACTGAATCTGTCTCTGTCCTCATTGTTGTCATTGCTGATGTGAGAATTGTTTCCTGCCATTGTGTTTTTCTGACGCTGGATCTTGTACTGACACGGTTAAGTGTTTTAGCTCAGAACCAGGCGCTCTGATGCCAATTGAAGTGGTGAAAAACACAAGAAGGGGGGGGGGGGGGGTTGAATTGTAAAACTGAAATCTAAAGCAATGAACACGATATTTTTATCCTGGTTCGTTTGATCTCAAACTACTCCAGTCCACCCGTCAAGGTGATTTCACCTCTCTCCAACGAGGTCTTAATCCACTATATTCAACTGAATATTACAGACAGCTTTAACAACTGCTAAAGCCTTCTTGATTCAAACCACTACCCGGTTTGTCAAGGCAACACTTTCTTACAAGGAGATAAAACTATGTGTGTGGATGTTTTCTACAAAACTGTATCACAACTGTGATGTATACACAAAATGAAGCTTAGAAACTAGATTGCTAAACAGTAATGGAATATCAGAGTATGTGGTTTAGCAAAACTGGTAGAACGAAGATTATGGTTCAGCTTTTGTGCGTGTAGAGATTTGGAGAGCATTAGCCATTATAATCTTCAAAGCCTTGTTTATATAGCACTTGAGATGATGAACGTTGGATGCAATATTCTTGATTCAATGCTAATAACAAGCTTTCCTTATTGAGCAGATCTTGTCTGGAATGAGGCCGTTGGAATTAATTTGCTTTCAATGCACAGTACCGTTGCTTACTTAATGCAAGTTCTGGCTTGGCTCATTCTGATTCTGCTTCACTGCTGATGAACTATTGTGTTTCTGTATCAGAGTATTAAGCGCAGTCTTGTTCATCAGGCTTCAGCATGTACGTGAGTTGATCATCTGATTTTGACGTTCTGATGTAGCAACTTCTGATGCTGGTGTATGAAATCAAATTCTGATGCTGAATAGATGTGATCTTGCTTATTTCAATCAGCGTATCTGCAAGTCAGAACATAATAATTTTAGGCAGCAGATAGTTCATTCATGACACTTATAAGTACTATATCTTTTCACTTTGTTATCATCAAAACTTAAATATAGGGTAGTAGATTCAAACATTGTTCTAACAGTGCATGCTAAAAACAAAAAAAAAAACTATAAGGTTAAAAATTGTTGGTGGTGGAGATCTTAGATGTTGCATGGTGGTGGATCTACAAAGTTAAAACTTCTATGCCAAAATTAGTGATTGAACAAAAGGGAATATAAAATGCTAAAAGAGACTTGGAACAAAGATCCAATTTTAAATTTTAAATTAATTAATTAATTAATATATGATTAAATATGTTTGTAGTTCTCTTAATTATCTCATATTTTACTTTTAGTATTTCAATTTTTTTCCAAAGAATGGTCCTCCTAGGAATGGAAACGGGGCGGGCCAGAGGCGGGTTTAGTTAGCCCCGCACCCACATTCGCCTCCTGTAGTAGACTCGTCCTTGCTCCCAAATTCATTCGGGGATATAAATTTACCCCAGACCCGCGCCCACCTGTGAAAAATGACTTTTTTTATAAATAAAAAATTACATGTTTTTTATTTCACAAATTTCCTGGACATCATGAACAAATATATTAAAAATACAAAATTCACCCTTAATTTGAGTAAAGAATTGTAGGATTTAATATTCAAACACCATTACAAATTTTTTTCAATCATAACCTTCAAATCAACAACTATGATTGGCTGTGAATCATTAAAAAAGTGTAATCTTTCAATATATCAAAGTATAAATAACTCACAACAACCAACAATTTTTTGCAAAGTGCAAATACAAAAGTAAAACAATATCATCAACAAAAGAACTATTCCAACAACATGGAACACAATATACTAAATCATCGTAACAAAAAAAGTTCTAAATAAACAACAAATTTTCTAATAATCTTCATCTTCGAGGCGCGATTTAAAAATAGAAGTAGCACCATCGATCAACAACTCACCTGTAATAAAAAATAAAAGCTAAAACATAAAAATTTAACTTGACAAATTTAATACAAATAGTATGAATAATACCTTCATCATCATACTTCATTTCAATGAGTAAAATAGCATTTTCATTGGCCATATTTCAAATTATCTATCAATATAGTAAAATATAGTCAATGATAGTCTTGGCAAGTAAAAATAAAAAATAAAAACAAGAAAGGTCTTACCATTATTCTCAGTACCCCATAACCAACTTCTTGCACACATCAAAGCTTCTAAAGTGGTCCAATGAAGTCGACTTCGATGAGGGCTTATGATATGACCACTTGTACTAAATGCAGATTCAGAAGCCACGATAGAAACATTAATTGCCAATACATCCCTTGAAATTGTTTGAAGTGTTGAATACTTAATTCCATTCAACTTCCACCATAATAAAAATATCAAAATATGGACTTCTTGGTAAAACTTCCTCTTCCAAATAAATATCCAACTCCGTTTTAACAGATGAAGTTCTAGCTCTTTTTTCTTATGAGATCCAAATCATAGTCTTTCAAATCATCATTACTAACATTACAAACATTAGTATCCAACGTTTCAGATCCAATTCTAGAATCCTTGTTCATTTTCAATTGATAATCATAAAGCAACTTGTAACACACATGTTTGATTGACTTAACTTGGAAATCGACATCATTCCCATAGAAGACTCCATAATAATATTCAAGAAAATCAAATTTATACCTAGGATCCAAAACAACAACAACCCCCTTTATTTCATGAATCACACTCCAATATTTTTCAAACTTTACCAACATGTTTTGTCATTCTTTTTACCAATTCATCAGAGGATTCAATCCACTGAAGTAATGCAACTTTAATTTGACAAATATTAGGAAAGTATTCATTGACAGTTGGATACTTAGTTCCAGAAAACACTTCAGTATAGGATTGAACAATTTCAATTTTCCACAAATCTCTTTTGCAAATTTCCAATGTAAACTTGTTGGCAAACAAGTGTATTGAGTTACACAGATTGCTAATCTATTAAATACTTCTTCATACAAAATAACAACATCAAGCATCTTGTAGGTAGAGTTCCATCTAGTTGGACAATCTAAAACTAAATTCTCAGTGCAAGGTATTTTTAACTATTTGGATGTCTCCTCAAACCGTTCCTTCCTTTTAGGTGTTGCAGTCCAAAATGCAACACTATCTCGAATCCTTTCTATACCATCTTTCACAACTTCTAACACTTCTTTTACTATCAAATTTAGTATATGTGCACAACAACGCGTATGAAGTAAGGCTCATCCCTTAATAATGTCTTCGGTTTCAACTTAGTCTTAATTTTTTCAATCATTGCATCATTTGTGTTACAATTATCCAAAGTGATAGTAGACAATTTTGTATCAATGTTCCAATCCACCAAACATTCAACCAATGCACCACAGAGATTTTCACTAGTATGAGGTGTATTAACATAAATAAACCTAACATGATAAGATTAAAAAAACTAGTATAAATGTGATTTACCTCAAAATGTGATTCACAAAACTATATATAATATGAAATTAATCTATCATTAGAAGAAATTAGATTTACCTCAAAATGTGACTCTGTAAATTCCAGTTTCCATCAATGTAATTATCAGTGATAGCCATATATCCCCTTTTTTTATTGCTCGAGGTCCAAAGGTCAGAAGTAACGACCACTCTTTCTTCAATATTTTCTAACAACTTCAAAGTTGATGATCTCTCCATACTGTATACTTTGAGTATCTCCTTTTTATAGTATTTCTACAAGGAACTTGAAATGTTGGTTGGAGAGAAGTAGTGCATTTTCTAAAACCAATATGACCCATTATTGAAAGCGAATATTCATGCAAAATAATTGCATGTGCAAGCTCTTTCTTAGAATTTTCTGCATCGTAAACTCCAGTACTCGACTCTTGTTTACCTTGCATGGTTCTAGGTGTAAGAAATGTTTGTCCTTTATCAGATGGTTTCAAAAGCTTCTTTTTAGGACAAGATCCCAAATGTCCTTTTAAATGTGTCGTCCCATCATTTGATGATCCATTAAGCTGCTTTGAGCAATAATTACATTGAGCCTTATCTTTTCCATCAACTTTGATCTTTGTAAAATGATCCCATACAAAACTTCTATGTCTAGATCCATGACTTATGGTTGTTTGGCTATCAACCTCCATATTATCATATGGTGTGGGAGGAGGAGCTTGAACTGATTGGTTACCACTTTAACTTGGAATTGGTTGGTGTGTACTTTCTTGTGAGATAGGTGGAAATTGTGTTTGAGAGGTACCATCATTTTCCATAACTAATTATCCTGTTAAGTTGTACATAAGAACCAACTAAAATTTATCACCGTAGGATAAGGATAATGTTTGACATAGGGTAAGGACAAGAACAATTATATAAGTATCATAGTAGCATTTACAAGAATAATGTTTGGCATGTGATAAGGACAAGAACAATTAACTTGAAAAAATGATTAATATCATTTAGAAAGAATAACACAAATGGTTAGTTTTCTGTTAATTGATTTAATAATCTATTAGTTACTTCAATTTCATATTTAGTAGAATAATAAATATATAGTTAATAATCATTATAGGTACCCACGTCAATGGTTTACTTTTATTTTTTTGCCAACATGATATTTGAAACAATAATGAATAATGCATCTATCAGCATTCAATTAACAACATTAGTGGCTTAACTCTCCAAATATTACACCACACAATTAATATATTCCTTTCTTTCTGTTCAATTTTTATGGTACAATTTGCTTATACAATAGGGAGAGAAGAGAGAAATTGTCATAAGACTATTACTTTCATGTTTTACCAACTGAAATGTAGGATGTAAGCTATACAAAAAACTTAGCTAATCAGGGCATCACAACACAGGTAATAACAATAGCACTGTCATTAGTTTTGATAATTAGCCATTTTGAGAAACCTTACAATTTACTTATAAATGTTTACCAGAAACAGAAATTAAACACACCACATACAAGTTGCAAGTTGCTCATGGATCAAACACACCACATATTCAATACCAACACAAGTCTTAGAAAGATTCAAAATTTATTCTGACTCATTTGTGTAGCTAAAATCCAGATAAAATCCTAACATTTTTGACACTATTCTACACACATATTGGACAAAATATCTTCAAGACTCACATGCTCACACGTAATTATACACAAACCAAGCCCATTTATCATTTGATTCAAGAAAGGGGACATAGATCTAACCTTTGAAATCCAACGACTGAGCTGAAGGGTTGGTGTGCATCGGAGTTGAGGGGTTTGCGCACAGGGGGACGCCGTTGTGGTGATGGCAGCAACGGTGGTCGACGCTGTTTTCAGTGTTTCACGATTTTGTGTTGAGAGGAAACGAAGCGAATTTTTCATGATTCTATGTTGAGAGGAAATAAGGGTTTTCACTTTTCACAATGTTATATGTGAGAAAATAAATTAACATTAAAATAAGGATATTAATGTAATTGCAATATTCAGGGGCAGGTCGGGTGCGGGTGCGGGCGAATATTAGTGTCTTGCCGTCCCTGTTCCCGTAGTTAAAAATCGGTTTTACCCGCACCCAATTAAGCCAGATTTTCCCCATTAATTTCGGGTCGGGCAGAGTCCAGCGGGTCTGAGTCTTTTTGTCATGCCTAGATTCTACTAAAAAATTTTACCACACTTTTGGTCCCTCCTACAATTTAGCGACGTTTTTTTATAACTTTGTGACAAAATTAGCGACGATGTCTACTTAACGACGATCTTAGCGTAAAGGATCAAAAGTGTGGATGAGAATTTTTAAGAGGACCATTATTTAGAAAAAAAATTTTATAGGGACTAAAACCGAATTAAGTTATTTATAGGGACAAAAAATATATTAATACAAAAATATCCCTATATATATTTAATTAAAATAATTAGTTATTAATTAATTAATTTTTAAAAAATATTAATTAAAAATATCGCAGTAAAAAATGCCAAGTCATTAAAAATATTTTTGTATCCTAAATATCGTTGCCACGTTTGCAAAATTGAAGGGGAACCAACTAAATCTCAAGTGATGTAAAATTGAAGGATCACAAAAGTGAGTTTTAAAATAGGAGGACTAAAAAAAAGTCAAAATAGAGAGACCAAAAATGTATTTAATCCATCATAAAAACGAGTAGATTGATTATTCCTTTTTACGCTTTTGGTGTTTACTTTGAGATAACTTATCTCATGTCTTATTTGAAATTCGTATGATTTTTCTCTTGCCTATTGGTAAGTATCAATTTTCTTTTGGATTTTATGCTTCAGATACACCCTATAACTAATATTGGGTAATAAATTCTGGAATCATTGACCACATGACACATATATCTACACATTTATCTACTTATTCACCTTGTCCTAATAATAAGAAAATATCCATAATATATGGTGTTATGTTATGGAAACAGGATTATCAACTAATTGATGAGGTGGACTTTGGATGCGATGATGCAGATTTTTGATGTGGTTGCGTAGTGGTGGACCTACAAGGTTAAAACTCTAATGTTAAAGTTAGTGATCAAATGAAAGGGAATAAAGTGAATTATGGTGAAAATCATACCTTAGATTGTGCACGTGATAATTCATATACGGTAGATGGTAATTAAGCTTACATTGTATTGAACCTGTGGACGGCTAAGAAAAATTACCCCTAAGGCTTGTCGTGGTGTAGTATAAGGAAAACCTTTAATAAAATTGGGTATGGTCCTCTATATTGAGATCTTTATATGGAGAACCATAAGATATCTGTAGCAGTAGACATATTGAGCCTAAGCCATTGGATTGACTTAAATCGCACATTTCAAATAAAAAATCTCCATCGCACTTTATTATTTCCAAAGAAAATGGGAAAAGAGTGAATTAACCTAAAAAAGAGAGGGGAGAATCTAGGTACGGGGGTTGTTTATGCAAAGGGAAGGTATTAGCACCCTAAACATCTATGGTACTCCATAGGAACCTCTATGAAAATCTGTGTATTTTGGCTATAAAAGGGATCTACAAAATACGATGGTGAAGATGAGAAAAGAAGTATTTTTTACAATTTTTGCACCCGCCGTGGTTGTAAATCTTTAGTGCCTACGTATCACCTTCCGTGCAATAGGGGATCAGGGTACTCGTAGTTCACCTCAAAAATTTTAAAACACGTGTGTGTTGGTTAATTTTAAGAGAAGAGACATCATCGTCATATCCGAGTGGAAAACATACTTACTACCCACGATTATGAGAAATGAGAATTTGCGTCAGCTCAAAGTGGAGGATATAGCTTGGATTTAAAATCAACAAAGCATCACTCAACACCCAAGTGGAAAATGTCTCACTTTACTGCATATCATAGAAGTATAGTAGCTCACATCACTACAAGAATCAACAAGAGTCTAATCTTTTGAGAAAACTTTTAAAGTAAAAAGCCAAAGTGGAAAATGATTTGAATGAAGTTAATGAATTTTAGTCTTTTAAAAAGATGTCAAATTATGATCATGTGCATAATAGCTAAACTCACAGAGATCAACAAGCATCTTCACTAAGTTACCTCTGACCAGGTTGATATCAAAAATTGTGAAATCCCTAGGACAACTAGCAACCATATTTACAGTACTTCCACCTCCATGTTTAGGTTGTGGATTATCCTTCACATTGGGACCAATGTCTTTAAAAGACAGGAGACCATATCTTACCATCTTCTTCACTTCGGACTTTAATGGATAACAATTTTCAATATTGTGCCCAAAGGCTCCTTGATGAAAAGCACATGTCTGATCAACTTTATAATACCATGGCAATGTTAAAGGTATAGCAGGGGGAGGCCTAGTATGCACCATGTTCTTCTGAACCAAGGCTGGAGACAATTGTGTATAACTCATTGGGATAAGATCAAAAGCTTCTCTCTTTTGACATTGACCTTGATTACTTTGTTGAGGTGTTCTCTGATAGGCAACAACAATTGGAGCCACATTGATGACCAGAGTTACTGAAGCAACCTGTCATTGATGCTGATGATGTATTCTCGGAGGTCTAACCCTTCTTTCTTGAACAACAACATTTGTCTCTCCTTACTTATTCTTAGAAAACTCATATGATGATTTCTTTGTTCCACTAGAACCTTCATCTTTTGACAATCATCCTTCCCTGACAGCTTCTTCTAGACGGACACCCATACTCACCATCTCAGTGAAATCAATTGGTGCACTGGCAACCATTCTTTCATAGTAAAATTAACCAAGGGTTTTTAGGAATACCTTAGTCATTTCTTGCTCTCCCATTGGGGGTACCACTTGGGCAGCTACTTCGTGCAATGTTTCACATACTCCTTAAATGATTCTTTATCTTTTTGAGCCATTGATCTCAATTGGTCACAATTAGGTGCCATAAACATGTTATACTTATATTGTTTCATGAAAGCTTCACCCAAGTCATTTAATATGCGGATGTTGCTACTGTTTAATCCCATATACTATTTCAAGGCAACACAAGTTAAACTATCCTGTAAGAAATGAATAAGAAAGTGTTGGTCATCAGTATGAGTGGACATTCTTCTGATATACATCACCAGGTGGTCACGGGGACAAGAGTTGCCCTTGTACTTCTCAAATTCGGGCACCTTAAACTTTGTTGGGACTTTCACATTAGGAACCAAACAGAGGTCACTGACATTCTGTCCAAATAACTCTTTCCCTCGGAGAGCCTTTACTTATTTATGCGTTTCATTGAATTGATCCTGAAAATCATCCACTCGGTCATAAGATCCCAAAATTTCACTTGGTGGAGGAAGAGGATGATAAACTTTATCATTAATAACAGGCATAACATTCACTGTAGATGGTGCAACATGATGAATCTCATTATTATCAATAGGAACAACGTACACCACATGAGGTGCAGAAACAACAATAGTTTAAACAAATGGAGCAACTTGAGCAACAGAATTGTAACCTTCTGGCATGAAATTCTCAAGCATTCCCCACGGGTAACCGTGAGGCATACGATATTGAGTAGCAGTAACTGGAGTAACAAAGATGGGGATTGACAAAACCTCTAAAATAACGGTCGTCTGCTGCAACTGAGTAGTATGAGGAGACAGAGGAGGAGGAGGTGGTGGCTGATTCTAAGCAACCACCAATGATTTTACTAAATCAT